AATTTGGCTGAAACCCATCATTTAAAAAAACAAAACAAACAGTAATTGATTGTTTTCTCCCTAGCCGAGTTTTCTGAGGTGGAGTCAGACTTCCATGCCAAAGTACCTATCGTGTTCTGTCGGGATGTTAGCAGGTGAGCATTAGCTCTTTTTGTCCCTCCATGTTGTATGTCTATGACACAGCATTATCTTCAGTGACAGAATAAGTTAAATGTAAGGCTAGAGAGTATAGGGCTGCTCGATTATGGCAAAAATGATAATCACGATTATTTTCACTGAAATTGAGATCTCGATTATTTGACAATATTTATTTAACCCTTTAAGACCTACTATAGAACCAAGTCTGCCAGAGCTTATATTATTATTATTATTTTTTTTACATGTTGTAGTGCCATTTGTGGGAACATTTCAAGTTGCTATACATCAATACAACTGTTATAGCCCATATTTTAATAATATGTATGCATTAAGTCCATAGTAACTACATTAATTGCAAAACAAAGTGCAATAAACTACAAAAAAATTGAAAATCGTTTTTGTTTTGTTTTTTTACATATATTTCTACTTGGAGAAATTTAAGAGGTTTATCCCTCAAAAGTTTAAATACAAAAAAGTTGCAAAAAATAGTTTACAACAACAGGAAATTTATTTTGAGTGTCTTCATAGTTTTATTTTGGAGATACAGCAATTTTTATATATTGCAGGAAAAACAAAAAAACAATCCTATGATGCAAATTTGCAAAGAAAACAGCAGGTGCATCAAAATAAACTATTCCCAGCAGTGCAATTCGAGTTCTAAGCATCCCAGCAACTATTCAGAAAAGTCAAACATGACTTATAAAAACACCAGTATAGGCTTTTAAGGCCTACAAGTAAAAAACTACATTTTCCGCGAAAATGACGTCACTTCCGGTTTTGGGCAGGTAATAGCGGACATGCGAACTATCTGTTTCAATGTGCGAAGTGTTACGAACAGCTGATCGGATCGGCAAAGCCTGTTTGTGGAATATTATGTTTTTGTTCCTGCAAGCGCTTTTTTATGCAATTTTTATACACACAGGCTTAAATACAGTCCTGATCAAAAGTTTAAGACTACCTCAAAAATGGCAAATCATATTTTGCATGGTTGGATCTTAACAAGGTTCCAAGTAGAGCTCCAACATGCAACAAGAAGAAATGGGAGAGAGAGATAAAAAAACAATTTTTAGAGCATGCAATTTATTGAAAACGCTTAAACTAAAAAAGGCAGTTTTACACCTGATCAAAAGTTTAGGACCACATGCCTTTAAATGGCCAAATCTGCAAAAATATGGAGTCATTGTCATTTTCTGTCAGGTAGTCACTGATGGCAAAGACAAAAAAAAATGTTCCACTTTTCTAATGTGGTCGGGTTGTTGAACTGCATAAGCAGGGTCTTTCACAGTACGCCATCGCTGCTGACGTGGGGCTCAATAAAACAGTCATTTGGAATTTCTTAAATCAGCGGTCCCCAACCTTTTTTGCGCCACGAACCGGTTTATGCCCGACAATATTTTCATGGACCGGCCTTTAAGGTGTCGCGAATAAATACAACAAAATAAAACTAGTACCGGTACCGAAAACAAGAAAATTTGCCTGCAGTCGGCACCGGCGTTACTGGTGCTGACTGCAGCCCCATAACTATCAGACGGCATCTGAGACTGAAGGGCTTCAAAAACAAAAAATGTCTTCAGGGACCTCATCTCCTTGAACGCCACAGAACTGGCCATTTGGACTTTCCAAGAGAGCACCAAACATAGAATGTTTAAAGGTGGAAGAAAGTTTAAGTGTTTGATGAGAAAAAAAAAATTAACCTTCATGGTCTGATGGATCCCACTTGCAATGTTTTCTACGCACCACAGTGGAGGGGGGGCCATAATGGAATGGGATGCCTTTTCCTTCAGTGGAGCAATTGAGGGTTCTGGAGGTGCAGGAACGTCAAACGGCTGTTGGCTATGTCCAGATGTTTCAGAGAGCATCTTTCGTGACTGAGGGCCCTCCTCTGTGTGGTTACGACTGGGTTTTTCAACAGGACAATGCTACAGTACACAATGCCCGCAGGACAAGGGACTTCTTCCAGGAGAATCACAGGTTTTTTGGAGGTGTGGTCCTAAACTCGAACAGCTGTAAAACATCCTGTTTGAGTTCAAGCATTGTTTTAATCTCCTAAGACCCGAACTCTTTCATGGCTTGCATTTTTAATTTTTCTTTGATATTTGGGCTGATTGTTTTTACATTCATCCGGTCCCAAAGAATTACGAGATTGTTTTTTTGTTTTTTTTTTACCTAATTTTATGTTTCTGAGAAAAATGAGAGCCACATTCGTTTTAAATTTTGATAGAACAGTGGCAGTATAATGTCCTCGTAAGTGGATATCAGGCCCTTGTAGAAAAAAAATTAAGTATTTTGGTCTAGACAACCCAAAATGTGATGTCCACATATGTGTATGCCAGGTCCTAGGAGGCTTAAAAAACAAATGTTTTGCTCACTCCCATTTCTTCTTGTTGAATGTTAAGGGTCTACTTGGAACCTTGTTAAGATCCAACCATACAGTAAATGACTTTTTTTTTTGCTTGCTATTTTTCAAGTGGTCTTAAACTTTGGATCAGCACTGTATATACATCCAGCCCAGTAACATTTAGATAAATGTCGCTTTAACAAGTTGCACCTTGACCAGATGGTTTTGGTAGCCATCAACAAGCATCTGAGATAATTTTGACTCTATATTTGACTGTTCTCCTTGGCAGAATTGGTACCTGGCTTTTAAGCACAGCTGTAGGTAAATAAAAGCAATCCCAAATCATAAGCAATGCTTCACCGTGCCTGTGGTGCACTTTTGATAGAAGTTTTTCCATTCCTCCCACCCACACTTACCTTTCAGAATTGTGGTCAGAAAGTTCAGGGTTTTTTTGTTTTTTTTTTATCAGATTGGAACACATTTTCTCTCATGCCTTTTGGAGAGTTGATGCATTTCTTTGTAAGCTGTAACCAGTTTTTTGTTTGCTTTTATCCACTTTGATGTATATGATATATCTAATGCTTTGTAAGTGGTTTTTAAAAAACAAAAAACTGACTAATACCTTTCGACCGCTAGACTTTGATGCTTTTTAGGCTCTTAGCAAACCATGACTTCTGCCGTAGCAGAAAACAGTGAAGATCGGGACAGCAGCTGAACTCTATTTGGGGTTAATCAGAGTCTCTTAATTGATGGCAGGCATGTTCCCAGGAAGTCTGTTGTAACACCTTTTGATTTATCACAGTATTAGTTTAAGGATGTGGACACTTATGCAACTAGCTTAATTTTTTGAATATATTTTTTCCTAACAACTTTGTTTTTCAGTTGAATTGTAAAGGCTTCTAGGTCACATTAAAAATGGGAAAAGTGTATACACTGTTTATGTCCACTGTATATATTACAAAAATAAATATGAAAATTCTAAAGTAAGTTGTGAATTAAGTGCCCAGCCTATATAAAGCCTGTGTGTGGGAAATCACTGAGGCCTGCAGTCTGGTATTGTTTTTTTGTTTTTTAATGTGACCTCTTTTTCAGATCATGAGCCAGTGAGACATTATGACAGTTAGAATTTGGTCCAGCTAATTGTCATCTTCCCCCACCTCTGTTTCTTCACAGCGGTCTGATGTGTAAAGTGAGTGCAGGAAATGATGTTGCTTGTCTTACGACCAATCATCTGGCAGCCCTGTCTAAACTGGAGCCCAGACTGATTTCACTGGTGTTGGCCTTCCGCTACTGGGCAAGGGTAAGCCTGTTTCGGACACTCAGAATGCATACACCTAATACATGTGTCCTTTGTTTAGTTCTCAGCATGTTGCAAAAGTATCTTTGTGTCATGATACTTGATAATTAATGTGTTTATGAAATGGCACAAAGGATATAGTGGATGTTTTGGATATGAAAACTGACGGACCAGAAATCATGATGATGTAATGGAAGTGGGTTTTTGTTTTTGTTTTTTTAAATTTCTTGTTAAAAGAGTTATTTTCAACCTCATTTGTGTACAAATATAAAACTTATATGCCCAAATGGCAAACACAGATGATCTGTTGGTCTGTATGATGTATTGTTTGGACCAAATTTTGCTTTGATGTTTCGCTGAAAGCAAAAATAGATTTTTTTTTCTTTTATGCACAGTTGTGTCACATTGACTGTCAGGCTGAAGGTGGCATCCCTTCATACTCCTTTGCCCTCATGGTGATCTTCTTCCTGCAGCAGAGAAAAGACCCTATCCTCCCTGTCTACCTGGGCCCCTGGGTAAGTTACTGAGAAAGGGCCACTCTGTATCTGTGCTCCTTGGCAAATAACCAACGTTAAACAAAATTATTTTTAAATCCCTTTCTTTATATTTTAGAACCTGGAATAGGGTTGGGAGATATAGTCTCAAAATTGTATCTGAGATTTCTGAGAGTATTTCCATAAAGTTTGCGACAATGAGATTTTTGAGAGTATAGGGAAAAAAAATACAGAACAATGATTGGAGCATAAAGCTTCTGAGCAGCAGCAGTTATAAGTACAAATGAATGAAGGGCATTTACCACCTTCATCTTCAGAGAGTTACTGTCATTAGTGACACTTTACCTATTTCAAAGTGTGAACTGTATTGACGCAGCAGCATCAGCATTATAGTGCAGTAGTAGTGATGCAATATTATACCAAGTGACACAGCATACCTCAAATATGAACACAAAGGTAACCACCGTGGCGTTTTTCAATTCAGTTCAATTCAATTTTATTTATATAGCGCCAAATCACAACAACAGTTGCCTCAAGGCGCTTTACATTGTAAGGTAGACCAAACAATAATACATCAGAGAAAAACCCAACAATCAAATGACCCCCCTATGAGCAAGCACTTTGGCGACAGTGGGAAGGAAAAACTCCCTTTTAACAGGAAGAAACCTCCGGCAGAACCAGGCTCAGGGAGGGGTGGCCATCTGCTGCGACCGGTTGGGGTGAGAGAAGGAAAGAAGACATGCTGTGGAAGAGAGACAGAGGTTAATAACAAGTACGATTCAATGCAGAGAGGTCTATTGACACATAGTGAGTGAAAAAGGTGACTGAAAAGGAGAAACTCAATGCATCATGGGAATCTCTCAGCAGCCTATGCCTGTTGCAGCAGAACTAAGGGAGGATTCAGGGTCACCTTATCCAGCTCAAACTATATGCTTTAGCAAAAAGGAAAGTTTTAAGCCTAATCTTAAAAGTAGAGATAGTGTCTGTCTCCCGAATCCAAACTGGAAGCTGGTTCCACAGAAGAGGGGCCTGAAAACTGAAGGCTCTCCCTCCAGCCTAGAAGTAATAGATTTTCAGTGGAAATCTTAAGTAAACATATAACTGCTTAACCTTTTAGTTAAGAACAGTTAAGAATAACTAAAGTAACTTAACTGTGTAATGCTTCAGAAGCCTGTACAGCAGTGTAATATATTAAAACTAGTGGTGCAACGGATCACGGTTGATCTGTAATCCGAACCGATCCCACTCCACGGTTCGGCACGCACGTGATCCGAAGATTCGAAAAAGAAGGAAAAAAGGTATGTGTATGGTGCGCGTGGTCAGTCTGTCAAGCGATATTTATGGTCAGCGCTAGCGGTCCAAGTGGAGGAGCAGAGGAGTTTGCAGTATTTAAGCAGCCCTTTGCTGCCCAATCCGACCGGGCTAAAGCTATTACAAAAGCTACTGGAGTGTTTAGCTGCAGACGGGAGGCCGTATTCCCTTGTGCAAAACAAGGGGTTTAAACTATGATGAACGTGCTTGAGCCACACTATGATATCCCGTTGCGCGTCCACTTCAGTGACAGGATCGTACCCAGGCATGTATGAGCAGGAAAAGTTTAACTTTATGGCTGAACTGTCCCAGGCATCTTTTGTTGCCCAACTACAAACGGGTGGACCTCCAGGTCAACGGAAAGCTACGTGACCGCTCATTATATCACAGCGGAGTGGTAGATATAAAGCCCTGTACTGCCCTATTTTGCACCTTAATTTGTTTTTATATAATTGCGTGGAATGAGTCTTGAGTTGAATGTTTTTAATAGGCAAAAAATATTTAAAAAGTTAATAAGTAAATGTTAAAATTTTTTCTTTTTTTCTTTTTTGCTGATCTGAAAATTGATCCGATCCGTGACTTAAAACCGTGATCCGAACCGAACCGTGAGATTTTTGATCCGTTGCACCACTAATTAAAACTGAAAAATGTTCAGTCTTGGGTTCAGTTTTTTAACCCGCTGTGGTAAGCGGTAAACCCACCATGTAACCACATCAACAATTTCCATCCACTGTTTGCACTCTGCAAGTGCAACTTGCAAGTAAGGTTACACATTAGAGAACACAAATGCATAGTGTTACTAGAGCAACAACAAATTTTGACATCATATGACACTTTCACATCATGTCAAAGGTTTTACCAGTGGTAGCAGGGCCCAGACAGTGTAATGTTGACAGTGTCTGAGCATCTAATGGACAAAATGACCCACATTTTCTGTCTGTGTGTCTTCAGGATAGTTTGGTTAAAAAAAACAATCCCACATGGCTCGAGTCTCTATTTGGAAACTAGGTGTAAATACAAGACGTTGATGGAAAATTGTATCATTCTTGTCACGAATGGACACATTGATGCAAAAGTACAACACTAAAAATATCCTGTGTTGTTGCTTAGATTATCTCATCAGACTTTTTGAGCACTATGCTGTATGCTCTGCCTGTGTAATAACGAAAACTCTTCTGATCCTGTAAATCATTAGTTTTCTTTAAAGATGCCTACCTATATTATATCTATGCATTTATCAGAAGGTAATGATAAACTCACTGTTTATGAAATGTTTAGCAGATCTTTTTTCCTGTTAGTTTTTAAAAAGATAAATAAAACAAATAAAATAGGTTTTATGAGACTTGTTGCAGTTTTCCACATGGTTACAAATGTGGATGACACAGGGTGAAGAACAGAAATGATTTCATTACAAACTTGATCTAATGTTGCTCACTAAGATTCATTGTTTTTAAATAGTGTAAGGTCTAAAAACATCCCCTGCAGAACAGGATATGAGAAGGTGTCAATTCTAGTGGCAGTAGCTTTTCTATGTGAGTGACGGAGCTACTTGTTGTGCTGGTTGAACAAGTAATGCCACACTAATGATGCACACCTGCTACAATGACATTGAGTAACATACAGAGATTTTATAGCTTTTTCACACTTAAGTTGTAATCTGTCAAATTTTAATTTGATCCGGCATCCAATCACCTGAATCACCCGAGAAGCTTCTTCAGTTCTAAAAGTAAAGAAGCTTCTTGAATGAGAGGTGAAACCTCTTCATGGAAACTTGAAGTCCAGACATTTTACTTTTCAAGCTCCTTAGACAGGAAGAAGAGTAGTTCTTATATACCCGTCAAACCAAACTGTTTGTGGATCGTTTTGTGTAAATGGAAAAACATTTCTTGGAAAGGATGTTGGTTATGAATATTTTAAAAGTATTTTTGATGCTTTAAGCACATCATCTCTATAGCTCATGTTTCCAAAACTGGGCAGCTAACAATCTAGAGTGAGAAGTGGCATGGCAGGCTAGAAAAATATACATTTACATATACATTTAATCTGCAGTTAGGTGATCTTTTAAGGCTGCAAAGCTGCCATATTTCTGCTTTGCAGCCTTAAAAGATCTTAAAAGAAAGTGTTTTTTTGGGATTTAAACATACAGTACTGTGCAAAGGTTTTAGGCCACCTTTTATTTCTTTATATTTTGCTAGGAAATTGTAAAAAGGTATAGTGATTTATTAAAATGTGCAAATATACAACATTAAAAAAAACCCTATAGTTCCTCTGTCTGAATTAGGTGATGAGTTTGGGGAAAAACTACAGGTTTACAATGGTTTGGTTGGTTTTCACATAGAGAAAAATTCAAGTGAACTCCGAGCCAATCAAAATGTGTCAGTCTGCTTATTAGGCAGATGTATCTGGGGTGGGAGCAATAAAAGTAATACAGGAAGAAAGTGCTGTGTGAGAAAAGTGAGAATTTACATTCATTTCACAGCTAGTTGCAAGACCTTACAGAGCCTTTACATTTATAGTGCAGAGCACTTTCCCACATTGAGAATAAACAGCATATTTTGCTACAGGACACTTTCTTAGCTCGGGCTGGGGTCACTTTCACGCCACAAACAAACCACTCGAGTTCATTTGGAACTGTAGTGACATCACCCCCTCCAAAGTGTCTCTGTGTGGTTGCTTTGGTCGACACCCAAGTGTGATTACTGTGTTTACACCTAAACAAATACACCACACCAAGGGGAAAATGAACAGGGTTTGATTTAGGCTACGTCCAGACTAATGCATTTTCGTTTGGCCTCCTGTCCACACTGAGACGGCGTTTTCCTCAAGGAAAAACGCAGCGTTTTGAAAACGCTCTCGAAAACACATACATTTCAATACGGAGCTGTCCCGCCGCAGTGTGGAGACTCGAAAACGCAGACTTTCTAAAACGATGACACATTTTAGTCATGTGATGCAGTCATGTGACCAATTAAACAAAGATAGCGGAGGGCATTATACAGCAGTTGTTTTCATTGCTCTCAATTTTGACAGTCCTAAAAATGATTAATATCAGTTTGTACATGCTCCAGATAGCTTTTCTTCAAATTCTTTAATTCTCACTTGCTTTGGCGCATGTGCATTATTGGAATATAAGCGTTTTGGGCCGTTTCAATGTGGACGCACAACTCTGTGAAAACGATGGAAAACGCTAGTGTGGACGCAAAGCGTTTTCAGGCGAAAACGCCGTTTTCAAATCTATCTGGGCTAGTGTGGATGTAGCCTTAAACTGACCAAACCGGTGTGAAAACATTCTAAGAGAAGCTTGCTTTGTTTTGCTACCTGTTATGATCCCACAGCACCTCAATAATGTTGGGATCTGGCTCTGTGGGGACATTCCATGACTGGCAGTGTTCCATTATGGGGCGATCGTGGCTCAAGAGTTGGGAGGTCGCCTTGTAATCGGAAGGTTGCCGGTTCGAGCCCCAGCTTGGACAGTCTCGGACCTTGTGTCCTTGGGCAAGACACTTCACCTGTTGCCTACTGGTGGTGGTCAGAGGGCCCGGTGGCGCCAGTGTCCGGCAGCCTCGCCTCTGTCAGTGCGCCCCAGGGTGGCTGTGGCTACAATGTAGCTTGCCATCACCAGTGTGTGAATGTGTGTGTGTGAATGGGTGGATAACTGGATATGTAAAGCGCTTTGGGGTCCTTAGGGACTAGTAAAGCGCTATATAAATACAGGCCATTTACCATTATGTGTTTTTCTATCTGTATGAATTGACTGCATTGGTTTTTGGTGTCATTATCATGCTGAAAATGAAATTGTTGCCAAACTTTTCCAGATTGTACTGAAATCTGACAGTATTTTTAGTGTTCATAATTCCATTAGTTTTGACAAAATTCAAACACCACTAGCTGGAATGCAGCCACAAATCATGACGGGGCCTCCGCTGTGTTTTACTGTAGACACTCCCGTATTGACAATGATTTGAATCACAAATTTAAAAATCAGATTCATCACTCCATAAGACCACTGATTTTCAGTCAGGCTTCTGCCTTTTGACCTTCTTTGCAATGTATCAAAAGTACGACAGTAGTAAATATTAGTAAAAATATAGCTGTGATATCAGATTCTACAGGCTAAAATGGCTATTAAAAACAAGCTAGTGATCTCTTTGCTAACTGTTTTACTTTGCTTCTACTCTCTGTTATGTTTGGCTTTGCTTTTCTCCTGCAGATTGAAGGCTTTGATGTCAAACATGTGGATGAATATCATTTGACTGGAATTACAATGGACATGTATGTCCAGTGGGAGCATAGAGCTCCGACCTCTACCGAAGGACGGGGAGAGAACAGAAACGAGGCCAGGGGAGAAGGCAGAGCCAAACCTCAACACCGCAATGATGCCCCTAACTCAGAGGGCTTGGTAAGATTTGTTTTACCTAACTCAGTGACAGTGTTGATACTCTCGCTTTTGCCCCTGGGTTTTGCACTAACCATAGCTGCTTTCACCTAAAGATCCGCCTAACCTTCAACGTGGGTAAAGATGTTGCGCTGGGCCAGTTATGGTTGGAGCTTTTACGTTTCTACACACTGGAATTTGCACTTGAAGAATATATCATCAGCATCCGCTTAAAGGACCTCCTCTCTAGGGAAGTGAAGAACTGGCCTCGTCGCAGGCTTGCTATCGAAGGTAAGAGATAGTTCTATTGCAAAACTCACTTTCCAAGCATAGAGAAATGGAGAAATTCATTCATTCTTATATTGCTAGATCCGTTTGCCTTGAAGAGGAACGTTGCTCGAAGCTTGAACAGCCAGATGGTCTTTGAGTACATCCAAGAGCGTTTCAGAACAGCTTACAAGTACTTTGCTTGCCCTCAGAAAAAGGGCACCGGAGGACACCAAACAAAGAAGAAAGCAAGGGCACAGGGTGTAAAATTGGAAGAAGCTGGGAAGAAAGAGCCTTCATCTACATACAAGGATGAGAATAACATCAAAGCAGAAAAAAGCCAGAGTGTTCAAAGAGGGCACCAGGGATCAAAGGAGGACGAAGAGCCTGACAGTGATGATGAAGATGGTTCAGATCCATCCAAAGAAAGAAATGAGAGCACTTTAGACACCCGCCTCATGGACATGCTTCTCAGTGAGGGAAACACACTTTCCTCCTCCCCCAATGGCCTGCTGGACAGTGACAGGGAAGAAGAAGAGGAAGAGGAGGATAACGGAGTTTCAGAGGATGACGGGCCTGTTGCACCAGATGATCTGCACTATGTGTTTGACAAGATGATTTTCACTTGTGGAAAGGTAAATAGTAATTAATGTCATCCATCCATTGGATAAATATTTGTAAATGCCTTAGCAAGGCACAACATTTTGTATGTAATGTAGTTTGAGATGAGGCTTCTGACCTGTTTATAATAGAGATCCATTAAACTTGTTGCTGTAGTATAGAAGAAGCATCATCTTAGATGCTCATGCTACATAACTGTGTGGTTTGCGTGTTCTCCCTGTAGCTTTGTGGGTTATTTTCCACTTACTCCGGCTTCCTCAAACACATGCATGCTAAGTTAATTAGTGATTGTGAATGAGAGTGTGAGCGGTTGTCTGTCTCAGTGTTAGCCTTGTGGTAGACTTGTCCCCACCTCTTTCCCTTTGACAGCTGGGAAAGCTTCAGAATAGGATAAGAAAGTGAATGAATGGATCGGTAGATGGATGAGTTGGTGGGTCAGTAGTTTTAAATTGGTTTATTTATTTGAAAATCATGTGAATGTAATAACTTGAGAACAAGGCAATGTAGGATTTTGAAGTTGATAACGTAGGTGTGTCTACTTAGAGGCTGAGGGGTAGCACTGGCAGTTTCAAGTATTTTTAAGATTGCGACAATATGACTTGCTTCAGTATTTAGACACATTAAAGCAAACATAAGGAAATATTTTCAAGCTTTGCAATATGTGACATTCGGAACTCTTACATAACATTAAAGCTGTTCCTGGACATCGTTAATTTTCCTGTTCCAGCCTCCAACTGTCGTATGCAGCATTTGCAAACGAGATGGTCACCTGAAGGACGAGTGCCCTGAAGACTTTAAGAAAATCGAGCTGAAGCCTCTGCCCCCTATGAATGACCGCTTCAGAGAGATCCTCGATGGCCTCTGCAAACTATGTTACTGTATGTAGCGAACATTGAACTTGTTTCACTTTAGCATTTTCTTGCAAGGAATCATTTTGCTTGTATAGCCATTATCTTTGAGTACCGTATTTTCACGACCATAAGACGCACTGTACTAAAAGGCGCAGTCTCAGTTATGTGTGCCATTAC